CTCTGCTCTGATAAACCGAGTGATAGATGGAAAAAAAGAGGAGAGAGAGACAAAACACAAATCCCTGCGGAGGAGTAGAGATGTGAGATATATTAAGTGGCGCTGATTGAAACGCACACTCGTGCTTGTCTTGTACATAGATCCCTGGTTTCTCTCAGAGCTGTCCTTTGAAAACAGAGCACCGGGGCTTGTGGGAACTCTATTCTCCTCCTTCAATACGCCATTCAAGCACAGACTCTCCTCTAGAGAGCTTTTCTCTCCGCGTCTCCTCTTTTCCTTTCAGAATGAGGTGCAGTGTTCCCTGCACCCAGCGATGACAGAAACAGGTTGTTCAGGGAGACAATGAGAATGGAAAAAAAAAATTATCAAACGAATGATCGGACTAAAAATAAAAACAAAAAGAATGATAAATGCAGCGTTATTATTAAACATTTGGCTTCCCTCAGCACAGATATGGCTGCTAGCATGAATCGTACGTATTGAATATTAATGTTTTTTCCTTTTGTAAATGTTCACATGACCAGCACATCAACCGTCTACATGTAATAAAAATTAACTTAAAACCTAGCAAAATGCGCATTCATCTACACACACACACAAACATAAAGAAATGTGCACGTGTACAATAATTCTGCTCGAGGCTTCACTCTCCACGAAAACCATCGCCATGTCAGCTGTTCACCAAACACAAAGTTTGTGCTATCTCGTAAAGTTTGTCTCCACACCTGAGAGAGACGTCAACATCCAAAGCTCCCACAGAAGAGGAGAAAGGAACAGTAAAAGCGTGTCAAGAGGAAAAGATGTGAGGAAGGAGGGATTGTCTGTCATCCAGCGATGTCCGAACTCCTGAGTGAAGGGACGCGAATCCTCCCTTCCATCCTTTCGTCCAACAGAAAAGACATCTTTGAGTGAGAGGACATGGGCGTGAGGATGATAGAAAGAGATTCAGCTAATAGCACGCCGAAGAGAAAAAAAAATAGAAAATGTTTGTCATTTTACTCCTGTCAGGTGCTTTACGGTGAAGAGGAAAATAAATGTATTTTTTCTCTATTAAAACTGTAGCACAAAAACAACAATCACATTCACAAGCCACCTGTTGGCACTGTGTACCTGAGTGAGAATATTATAGAACCAAGAAAAAAAGTTGTTTAAAAGTGTCTCTTTAGAAACAATCAGGTCCACCATTTTAAAGTGTCTATGACGGGTCGACTGACAGGTCCTTAGTAATAAATGTCTCGACAACAAACCGGTTAAGGGTAATTTTTCCTATGTCTAGGCAAGTGTTATACTTCCTTTACAAGACCCTCCTTTCCATGTAACAGTCACTTTGATTGACAGGTCCTGTGCATTGCTGTGGATATCGGGCTTGGCTCTGGAGGATTCCTGATTGGACGGTGTATGGGGGCGGAATGAAGTTTGCTTGCGTGAGATGCCAGGTGACTGGTGAGATGGCTGTGATTGGCAGGTTTACTGAGTGATGTTGTCACTGCCATCACTGCCATAGTCATCGTCTTCGTAGTCGAACTCATCGTAGGCATCGCCATTGCCGTCAAGCTCCTCCTGGCATTCCTGCCATAGAGAGCGTGCCTGGGTACACAACGCCCGCTGAGGACAAGGGCAACTGGGCCTGCTGCCTGTTGTACAACAAACATGCAATCTGTTAGCAGAGCCTGGGTGAAAATTCATCAGATTATTGTTTCCTAAAAGTGTACACTTTACAAACAGGCAACATGGGATGCTAGTCAAATGATTGGTACTATAACATGTTACTTGAATACAACTTTGTAAAAACGTGTTAAAAATGCTGAAAGTCAACCTGAAATGGCATTCATAACCCATTTTACTTACATAATGTGACATATTACTGAGTGAAATTGGATATTTAACAAAAAATGTGGGGTGGGTTCTTGATTTTGTCTATTGGGAACTAGATAGTGAAAAAGGAAAGGGTTGAAAAATTAGCGAGCTTCTTGATGTCACCCAAAAGGAGAGGAATTTTTCCTTCATGAATGCACTGATTGATCTTTCACAGTAAGAAAAGGAATGTGTATTAAGAAATTCAGCAGGGTAAATTTGATGTCGACTTTAAAAGAATATATTACTGGAAGGTGTTATATAATGAAACGTACCCTACGGTGAAGTACTGCCGCATTTCCTGTCTGCGGTTGCGCATGATGGCCTTATATTCACCAATGCGCAATTTCTTTCCGTCCACTAGGCAGGTGCGTTTGGGCCGTGGTTTGTATTTGTAGTCTGGGTATTTCTCTAGGTGCTGCTTACTAAGACGGGCCTGTTCTTCATAATATGGCTGCTTTTCCAGGTTGGTCATGGCTTTCCAACGAGAACCTGCAAGAACAACAAGGTTTTAGAGAGAACAAACACACTTGTGATTCAGACAGAATGAAAGGGATAGCCGCTACAGCCGTAAACATTTAGGAAAAACGTGGCAGATCAGGGTCAGATGAACTCAAACCCAGACTAATACAGGGCTTCTTTAAGACACATTAGACGACTAATCATTCAGGCAACCCAGTGACTATTCGATTTTTAAAATATGCAATTTTGCACACTCTCAATGCTCAGTACGTGTGTCTCTTATTTCTCATTAACATAGATGTGTGAACACATACACAACTGTGTACACATGCCACAGTCCCAGAAACTCCAGCAAACATGTGTTCAGGGTGATACGTGTGTATATATGTGAGTCTGTGTTGAATTTACACAGTCCTACTGTATGTTTAATGGGAAAAAGCTGTCACCACTGGCCCTGACATGCATCCAGCACTGAAAAGGGGAAACTCCTTCTGTTAACAATTGAGAGAGCGGGGCCTTATTAAAACCAGATTTTCCAGCGTTATAAAACGCTTAGGAGCTCTTTAAAATGTCAAACACAATCCCAGAGGTCTGGAGAAAATGTCGGACAGCGGGAAAGGGCTGTGTGTGTGTGTGTTGGGGAGGAAGAACAGAGGGGATTCTCTGTGGCTGGCTGCATAGTTCTTCCAGAAGGAGCCAGCCTTTAAGCCCCACCCATATTTAATGTACCCACAAATCTCAGCCAATTAGGGAATACAGTGTGTGGCGAATCAAAGCCGGATGGAATATAAATCGATCAAAGGCCTAGAGTCAAAAACTGCACAGCTGGAAACAAGAGCGGACGCTAGTAAACCTGAAGTGGTTAGATAAGTGGTTGGAGAGATTTACTAGCGCTGTCTCTGACTATTCTCTCTCTCTCTCTCACCAAGGATCTTGCTGATGTTTGAGTTGTGCATGTCAGGGAAAGCCTGAAGGATCTTCCTCCTCTCATCTTTAGCCCAGACCATAAAGGCGTTCATGGGCCGCTTGATGTGCGGTTCGCTGCTGCCACGTCCTCGAGCCTCCCTGAAGATCCGTGAGTCTGACACACTCGGGCTTCCTGGAGAAGGAAAACAGGGACTCACTGTTAGTGTGGGGATACACATACTCATAAGTACAGTACACATCAAATAAGACGGAAATGTAGGGTTGGATGTAATTTTATCCACTGAGAATCATGAAAAATGTAAAGGAGAAAGATTAAAAGCAAGTTGGCAGGCGAAATTGACAACAAGGATACAATTATGGGTATTATGGGGAAGTAAATAGGGTCCATGGTCATTGCACGTTAACCTTAATGTATCTTTAAAGTTTTTAAAATATTTTCTTCCATATTATGACTCACATCTGAGTAAAACAGATTATCATAGGAAAAAAAACTAGCACAAATTGAAAAAATGTCCAAACATTTAGGACTGGGTCCTGGTTTCATCCATTGGTTATGGTGTGAGCTTGCAGTTGACAGTAAGGTCTGGTGTTTATGGAGGCGAAATGATTGAAGTATTTTTTAAGTTAAAAGTTAGGAGGTCAAAAAATAAATAATAAAACATGGATGGATGAGTTGTTCATGATAAGATCAATAAATTGAAAATAGATACGCATTTTTATTTCATGTGACTTTAAACTGAACTTTTTGATGACACAAAATCAATTGAAAGATGAATTTATGATGGGCCGTAAAAGAGTATCTTACCATCTGAATCGCCACTGATGCCGAAGTCCATCATTGCATGAGTGAACTTGCTCTCTTCAGACTGTTTTAACTGTTGGCTCAGGCTTTCAAGAGCGGCTTTATCCTGTACACACATAACATACAACCAATCCAGTTAGATTCATAATCCACAAATCAACAGATTCATTAGCATAAGCACCAATGAACTGACAAATCAAGTGCATAGAAGAAGACTCGAAAACGAAAATGAATGAAAATGTGAGTTAATGTTTATCCATCAAAAACGAGTAGCCTGGATGCCACCTGCAATCTATTTACACTAATTCTTTCCCTCTCTACTCGATCTCTGTCTCTCTCGCTTAGCCCTAAGGTCAATGCATTAGAGAGCGCAAGCGCTCCAGAGATGAGAGTGGGGTTGGACCACACAGCCTCCTGGGTATTTATTACACACAAATAAAAAGAGATTTACTATGCATTTACATGGCTAATGTAGCTGGGCCGCATATTTCAACACAACACCCCCTGCTCTCTTGAAACACGCACACCCCCTGTCACCCCCCCGGAGCTGCATCTGGGGCTTAATTAGTCAATTAGACTCCTGAATCCTGAATCCACGCTACATTTAAAACACACTCGCAGACAGAGTCCTCACCATTAGAGAGTGACCCGGGCCTTCCGCGACTCTGTAATGAAATGCATTACACCATTTCGCAGCCATCAAGATTTAATTGTTCAGACTGAGTTAGTGAGTGGGGTTTAAATGAATGTGTAATGGAGAGAGAATCTCTCCCCGGAGAGACAAAGAGAAAGAGGGAGAAATGGAGCGATGATCAGGTTTGATAATGTGACAACATGAAAACTTAGGCTTTATACAGTAGAAGGTCTGTAATATCTGGTGAAAGCTATCCGTTAATAATCCGTATAATAATAATCCATTAATAGTCAGTGGGGAACTCAGAGAGGGCCCAAACTATTGTAAAAACAATATTTACAATATTTAAATATTTTTTTTAAATGACAAACTTTTAAATATTATTTTTAATAAAAAGTCATAATTTCCAATTGTATTTAAGCAATTCATAATTTCACAATAATCGAAATAAAATAAATACAATTTCTGTGGAAATAAACTCTTCAAATCTGCCTATTCAGTGAATGCGTTAAATTAACTAATTTTCTCCATATTAGAATGTTTCCGCCTAGCGTTTGTGGCTCTGTGATTGGTGGTCCAGCTGTGAAATTACAGAGGACCAATAGTAATAGTAAATCAATGGGAGCATAATTTTAAATGACAGAAAAATGGACCAATCATATCTTTCCTCTAAACGGGCAGGCCTTGTTATCACTAACTTTATGACAAGTTCCGCCCGCTGTGGGATCTCTATCAGAAAAAAATATATACGCTGATTGATAAACTAACTAGCTATTATTCACGTCATGATGGAAGCCGCAAATAACGCAAGTGAGAACATTTACTGGGCTGCTGTGCCAATAATAATATTATTTAATATAAACACTGCTTGTTTGTAATGAAGTGTCTGTCGCCAAGTTGTTTTGCTGTGAGCGCTGTCATGATGTGTTGGCTTACATTAAACATTACATTTGTTGTTTTTGTGCACAGACCAATTGTGTGATGATGCATTTGTAATGAGGATTTTCATTTGACTTAAATTTAGCTATGTTTTATTTTGGTGATATCAGTCACTCTCGCTGCGCTGTTTTCTTGTTGCATTTCTGAAAGGCGGTCGCACACCGGATGAGAAGCTCAGCGCTGCCGCCGTGGGATGCGTGAGTCTAGGGCAAATTATCGCACACCAGACGCGTCGCGTTCAGTTTGAGATGGCAGTCCAAAACCTTTAATCTACTCTCCAAGCAGTCAAACATTCACTTCAAGAATGAGCAAGTGGTGTCAATGAGTTTGAAGTTCGGTGATAAAAAAAAAAACAGCGCAAACAGAATGAGAAAGTGTGGTCTATTGAAGTCAAAGCACGGAGGTCGGTGGTGCTGCTGGTGCGCGTGTAGAAAACAATGTGTTCGAATATTAAAGACATGGTGTGGCGCAGCACTGCGCTTCTCGTCCGGTATGTGACCGCTTTAAGGCTGGAATAGCCTCTTGTTTCAAAGGTGGAATTATCAAAGTTGACTTTTAGAATTAGACTGTGTAAGCTAGGCTGGTAGTCTGTTTTCCCCCCGACGAGGGTAGGGGGAGAGGGCCAAGGTTCAAAAGTCACGGTTCGCTACTGACTCCTGTTCATCTCAACTGCAAGTATATTTACTACTTTTAAGAGCCCTCATGAAAAATAGTCACTGCACAACATTTACTTGCACAAATTATCAGCTAATTTTGAATAAGCATTAATGAAGAAAGATGCTTTTAAGCTGGTGTAGTTACAACATGTACCAGCAGAGGCTAACTGGACCATGCTAACCAGCTAAACCTTGTTTGGATTGACACTAAAACTCCTTCATCTCATAGACGATTGACCTTGTTCATCTTCCACAATCTATTTAGCTTAGTGTGACACAAAAAGGTTTAGGAACAGGGCTTGGTTTGACCGCACAATGTGTTCCTGGGGAACAAGTTCAAAGCGCGCAGCACACTCTCTCTCAGAGAGTCGAGGTTAAAATGGAGAGGGACAGTAATTGTCTAAAATCAGGAGATAATGGACTGAAGAGGAAAAACAAACATTAGATGGGCTGGCTGATGTGGACCTCAGTCACGTAGGAGGTAAAGTCAAGTAACAATATGAAAGTAAAAATATGAATGGGGGAAAAATAGTGAAAGAACAATTGTGCCACTTTGCCATGTGGCATTTCAGCACAAACCACTGCAATCCAGACTCAAAAACTTTGTTGAGGATTTTAGTCTATGTCTATTAGCTTTGAAGCAATCTATATGCTACAGTACTTCTAAAAGTTGAAGAAAATCCGGGAAATTCCTTTTTAACAGAAATGCACATTTAAAAATTAGTCTTCTCTAAGAAAATGGACAAAAATACACGACTCATCCTCTACTACAGATTTTTGTCCAGTCAGATGCTCTCTATAATTATTATGCATCACCCCAAACCCCCCTTGCTAAGACTAGTAAGTAGCAAAACATGGGTCATAGTTGATGTAACAAAAGCCTAGTCTATTTTTTGTATTAAAACTTCCCGCTTCAATCTGAAATATGGCAAATACAGGGAAAAAAAATTCATCCAATTTCTGTAAGACGGAGATAACTGAAAACTCTCTTCAGGTGTTTGTTGCCCTCATATTTACTGCAGCTAATCTGCCCTTTTTTCAGCATTCGGATGTGTGGCCTTAATCAAAAATAACCCCTCTGTACTCTAAACATGCAAAAGTGCAGCACGGAGGACGGTGTGTGTAAGGGCATAAAGCTGTGGTCAGGGTAAAGTGCAGCTGATCTGTTGTAAATCATAATAAGGATAGAGTGCTTGGGAGATGTGGCTTATTCCTAATGCACCTTCATTAACCTTGTAGCAATCAGCAGAGCCACTAAGCCTGGTCAAAAGAAGAAAAACCCCACCAACGTGTGTGTGTGCTAAACTGAAGCAGAGATCAACGCACCCATAAACATGCTTTAGTTAAGCATTTACCTACTGTGTATTTGCAGATGTTGATATGAGTTTACACACAAAGGTTTATGAAATAAACCAAATCTCTGTGCGGCAGAGAAGATCAGGAAGCAAGGACACCTGTGTATACACAAGCGCCTTCCTCTGCTGATGTGCACAATCACGCCATTAGAGATGGACGAGGCAAAATTGAATGCTTGTTTACTGACACACTCGGCTTTTAAAAGCATTTGTATGCAAATTCCTCAGAAAGCGAGTGTGTTTTATTATCTGTGGTCGAAGGCGTTTCCTGTGCTGTGGCTCGTGGACCAGCTGACTCCAGTGTGTTTAGCAAACAAGCTCAATTTAGCCGCACAGCCGAGGAGTCACTTCAGTCACTTCACATTAACGTCAGCTACGCCATTAAAATTAGCGTCCCATTCACTGCGCCCTGCCTGCCCTTAGCCTGCCTTCCAGACACGACCATCGTGTACAACAAAAGAGCTTTCAGATCTTAGTCACCTCCACTGCTCCTCTTCACAAGAACAGCTTTGGGAAATCGCTTTGTTCAGAGATAAACATGTTCTGTTGTAATTAACGCTTCTGTTTGTGTTGTTTCGGCTGTTTCAATCCTCACTTCATTGGTGATGAGCAGGAAGGGATCTGCAGACTTTTTTCCTTCACAAATTGAAAGAATAAGTGAGTCCGTAAATGCAAGACCAGAGTTTATCGAACCTTCTCTGCGCGACCGTTGTTGAGGCTCAGGCTGTTGACTGCTGCTACTTTGGCGTCCAGAACCTGCTGTTCTCTCTTTAGCTGCTCCTTCATCTGTCGGGCCTCCTGGAAAGCTTTGGTCACTGCCTCATGGTCGTTCAGGTAGCCGCCGGAGGTAATGGATGACAGTAGGTCTGAAAGCATGACAGGTATGAGTGAGACAGAGCACAAGCATAAGACAAGAGACTGTAAGACAGCAGACAGGTAAAGCATATACTGTAAATGTGTCTTGTTGTAATGCAGTCATTTTCAAATGGTTCCTGCATTTACCAAATGGCCAATTTCCATTCCCTGTTAGCAATTTCGCATATTGTTGCAATGCATTTTGTGATTGCTTTCTCAGTGAAGGAGGTTGTATAATTATATATTCCTACCTTTTGGGATAGCTTTTGCCTTAAAATGTTGCCTCTGTAGGCAGCTCACTAGCATTTGGAACGGAGCAATACACGCAAAATATAAGAGATCTAGTTGAAAACAGATGCTGATGCCTGAAGAAAATCTCCCAAATCTGCATTTTTTACATTGAGAGATTTGCTAAAATGTGCAATTTGTCTTATATCCCACACATATAAAAGCAGTCTTGCTCTCTTTCTCTGTCTGCCATTCTGTAAGCTTTTATTCAGACCAAAGCTCAGGGAAATCTTTAAAGAAAAAAAAAAAAGAGAGGAGATTACTTATATTAAAGCCATAAGCGGCCTAATTTGGCCCATTCTGTAACATCTGCCTCCGAGCATATCAAAGATGTTTCCAACCATCTTTTCATGGCTATTATTTGTATTATTCTCAGCAGCTTAACCGCCCAAGCCGTTAGCCGCATCTGTTGGCTAGTGTATGTGTGGTGGAGCATTATCTTGCCAGGATAGATCTAACAAAGACCTATGCTAGATTATGAGTCTTTATCTGTCCTAATCCGGTCGCTAATGCTGGATAGGATGGATTAAATGCTTTCATTTGAAATGACAGAGTAGGGAACTCTTTTAAAAGTCATATCTCAGGAATCTGTTTAAGTGGCCACAGGTCACAGGGTGTGAGATCCAGCACACTTCCTGACAGTCGATTTAATAGGGGGTAAAAAAAATGTCTGGAGTGTTAATTGAGAGCACTGACCCCACTAAAGAGAGATGGTTATGAGATTTTCTTACATTTAAAATGACTTGTTTAAAGAAGAGATGACTATCAGCCTAATAACACAAAACATAAACAGTATATCACTTTTAACATTACAGTGACCTGAAGAGTGAAACTTTCTTTTTGGCTTCTGAGGAAAAGCAAGGGAGAGTGATGGCCTTAGAGGACACAGTCCTTGACAGCCCCTGTTGTGTTTCTGTGGTGACAGTGACACAAAAAGAAAGGGATGCATGGGGTCGGGTATGCTGGAAAGTCTCAGGACAGATGTCACTTAGCAAGGTCAAACAGATAAGAGGTGGAGAACAAGGATGATGGAAAGATGAGGAAATTGCACAAAAAAGGGCGTTCAAAGGCATCTGTCAAGTTGAAATATAAATATACATCCAGATAAACACGTACACCTACAAACAACATTTTATGTGGGGCTCTGAATACGTCTTTGATATCACAATACTTCCTGACCCCTTAAAGATGTGCTCCAGATGGAATAATCATGAGACATACGGCACTTTAAAATGTAATGATCTAAAAGTACCGCTCGCCGCGTCATGTTCTAAAGGATTCCAGTGAAAACTTTACTTCCTAATCCATTTTTTCAGAACAAAAAACATCTGGGCGGCAAATCCACTAATCTGCTATTAAATCCCAGGATTTGTTGAAAAACACTGCGATTACAGAGAAGAAGTCTGAAATGGCTAACTGTTGTGAGGAGGGGAGGCATGGGGAGGGGAGAATATTGCTTTATTGTGTAATTAATGTATGTTGTTTGTGCTGTGGGTGGTAACAGAGTTGTATAAGAGGCTTGTCTAATCTCAGCGCCTGTCAGGAAGGCTTGTGTTGCTCTATTCAGCACCTCTAAACTACAGAAATAAACGCCGCTAAACCTTCCCATCCGCTGTCTCGCTCTCTTTCGCTTCCAAACACAGCTGCTTAACAAGCTCTCCCCCAACATTTAGTCTAATAAATGTTTGACAATGTGCCCTTCAGGCAAAATTAAATTCTACAAACCTAAAAATGTAACATCAATTACCGTCTCATACAAGAGTCTGTCCCAGCAGAAAAACATATCCAGGGAGTAGGAAATGCTCTTGAGAGATACATTCAGGGCAATATGTAATAACATTAAGCAGGTTATGCTGCGATTTGTGTGTGTTTATTGAATTGCAATGAACTGTGGTGTGGGTACCTATGGAGCTGAGTCTGGACGGCGGTCCTCCGATGCTGGAGGGGGCGCTGTGCTTCAGGGACCCGGGGCCCAGCTTCAGGGCAGGGACCTGTGGGGAAGCGGGGGAGGTGGGTGACTTGCTCTCGGATGCCTTAGGCTTGGACGACAGATTCAAGGGCTGAGCGCCCTCGTCCTGCAAAACAGCAACACGTTTGGCCTAGTGTGATTTTTCTCCTCAGAGACTTGGGACCCAATCAAATCTCCCAGCAGGGGTCAAATCAGCTGACCGCACACCGAAATGTAGGTTTTCAGCAGATGCGGCCAGACCACAAGGAAATGTAATATTAATTGCGGTTGCGCAGGCCAGTTGAAAAACTTGCCAATATTGGATTGACGTTGCGCGATGCCATGGCGCAATAAACATGCAGCACACCCATGCTCAATCAAACAAGAGAACAGGGACAAAGCGAGCATACCATGTAAAGAAACATGCTTAAGTGAGAAGATTCACACATTTACCAAACATGTTGCGCATTGAGAAGAAAAAAACATACAAGCATACACACAAACACAGAATAACCAAGTATTCCATAAATATAAGCACAAATGATTATTTGATGTACACATTCCAGCTTCAGATGTTCACAGATGTCAATTAGACTCAATTACATAATAAACAAACAACACTGCCTCTGTGCCTCCAGGTTACGAGTGGTGGACTCTATTCATACATGCAAATGACTAGTACCCAGATATCAACCCTGCTGACATTGTAATCACATCAGAGAAGGCACCATAGAGCCAATTAGGTCTCAGAACGGCAGATGCTGCCCTGTGCACATCATTAGAACATTGCAATGAAGGCTTAAACCTGTCTTAATTGCCACTAAGTCCTCACTATTGTTCTTAACAGCTTCACATCTCCATATCGAAACCACATCAGACCTCAGACCTCCAGGGTCTAATGACCTCACCAGCCTTCGCTCAAGCCACAGCTGTCAATCATTTTTGCCTGGCAGAGTGAGTCTCAGGTCACTAGCATGCTCCCACTGCGGTGGGATCTTATATGTGCTTACATGGGGAGTGCAGCATCTGTACAGACACCTGTTTTTAGAGCCTTTCTGTCTATCATGAATGGCCAGAAACACAAAAGCATTTGCAGCAGCCATAGAGGACAACCACATCTCACAGAACTACAGTGTCTCTCCTCGTCTTGCCTCTGCAGTAGTACGAGCAGACATTTGCTCTCTTTCAGAGGCTGTAGGCAGCAAGGCAGCATGCTAGGTTTTGGAACAGAGCTTCTGAGGTCTGGAGAGCTTGATTAAGACCTTTCCCTCACTGCTTGTGCTGTGATGGGCCGTAACAGGATTGTCCTCATTAGTGCTGCTCTCAATGAAAAGGGAACCAGTGGGATGTGGACTCCATCATAAGGGAGACACACAAAAGACCCTACTCAATGAGAACACTAAGACGCAATTGAGGAGAATACTGTATCATGACCCATATTGTGTCGGGTGTGTAGCGAGGCTGCATTGAAGAGGAAAACTGAATATTTATGACAGATAATGCCTGCCTCCCGCCCCGATAGTGGATTGTTCTTCGAGAAGCAAATCCTTGGGTGGGATGTTAGCCAAAGAGAATGTAGCTGGTGAGAGGAGAACTAATGAAGACTGGCAAAGCCATGTGAGAGAAAGAAGGCTAGCTTTAAGATCAGTCATACATTTTACAGGAGGAGACAACTTAAATACAAAATGAATAAGCTTAAATCTCATATAAAATGAAATATGTCACTTAGAAATCCAAAACCTAAAAAAAACCCTTAGAAATGAACAATAACATGTCGGTGCCAAAAGCCTTGTGGTTAGTGCATCAACATACAGCGTAACTGCGCTCAAGGCGACCAGAGTTCGATTTCCGTCTCGAGGTCCTTTGCTGATTCCGCTCCCCTCTCTCCTCCCAATGCTTTCCTGTCGTCTCTACTGTCCTCTCTCAATAAAAAGCATAAAAAGCCCATAAAATGACTTTAAAAAAAGAAATTAACAATAATATTGTGTCAATATTGGAAGCGATCGGTGTGTCGCGACAGCTTGAGGTTGTTTACACTGGAAGTGTCAAAGCTCAGAATGCTGACCAACCATACAATCTAGTTGTAAGTATATATAGCAACTTCAAGAGAAATCCTAAAGCTAACTGTGGCAGCACTGAGCCTAAGTGAAGGAATGAGGGTGTGAGGGTCTGCATGTGTAAATCTGAGTAGGTCACAGAGTGAAAACCGTGATATAGTGACTCTGTGATGCACCTGAGTTGTGAGGCTTCCCCCGGGGTAAAGCACTTAAGCTTTGTACGCCTCAGTCCAACCAGCTGTCTGACACATGGCACACGTCTTAAAATGAGAGAGTGGCAACTACCCCAGGGCAGCAACCCTGAAATATACATGCCTGCCCCTTCATGATGGCAAAAGCTTGCAGACGCAGAGAGAACAAACAAGAGAGACCTGATTGAGGAAAAATTTGGAGAGGGAAACAGGAGGTTTGACTCCACTTTGAGATACTTGACAGGGAATATGAGAGAGACAGAAAAATATAAGGAAAAGGTAATTTTTCTTATGGCTCAGTAGCCGTGGAGGCCTAACAGGTGCAGGCTGCACTGCCAATTATCTGTATTATCCCTATCCCTCTTCTTTCTCTCCATTTATTTGGGCATGTGACAACAAAGGACCAAATGTTTGAGGAAACCAGCCTTCATTAGCCTTTGACACAGTGAGCTGCATGGGGCCAGGCCCAATCGATGGGGACCGCCAAAGCTTTACACTGAGATTGACAGACGGAAACATATCCTGAACTCTTCCTCTATGCAACAGGCATGTGGTTAAGCTCCTGGTCTGTTCTCTTCCCTGTCCAAACAAGCATCGGTCTCAGCCGTGGCTCAAGGCCGGAGAGAGAGCGGGCAACAGGCCTTCACACATGTTTATCCAGCCCTGGCCGCCCCACGGTCCAGCTATTGTACTGCTGAGCGGGACAGAATGGGCTTGCAGGGGTGTCCGGGCGTCTAGAATTACCAGCCCAGCAGGAGGGAAGAGAGGCCAGACAGGCTGCTTTTTTTTCTGCCCTGCCTGATATTCATGGAGCTTTATTCTGCTCAGATAGCTCTGGCCTCCTGCTGCCACGCTGGCCGAAGGGAAAGATACCTGCTCAGAGCCTTCGGAAAAAGCACAACACAGTGGTGGTAGCTAGACTTCGGGTTCGAGGACCAAGGACCTTCAGAAGCTGCCATAACAAAGCACTTGAAATGGAACAATGCAATGAGGCATGGAGAATTGAGGGCATAGTGCCAGCTTGCGCGAGTTATGGGTAATCAACCAAAAAAAACATCAAAACCAGTACATACAAAGACTATAGCTCTGGATGGTAGAATGGTAAATGTACGCAGTTGTTCCAGCCTAATACGCATCCACAAACACATACCTTGGGCTTTGGTGGCGGGGTGCTTCTGTTTTTCTCGCTCTGGCCGCTGGTGGGCGAGAGTGTTCCGGTTGCCAGGTTGGCCTGAGGCACTGTGCTGTGTTTGGCCCCCGGAGACACCTGCATGGCAGCTAGCTGAGCTGCATACAACTGCTGCTCAGAGACAGAGAGAGACAGAAAGAGAAAGAGAGAGGACAGACAGAGGGAGAAGTGACAGAAGAGTGGATGAAGGAGAGAGAAAGGTCCATGAATAAATGAATACATAGAACGCACAAACAAACAAAAATAAATAAAAAAAAACAGGCTAAAAAGCTGGTTTGGCCATTAGTGGAGAGGGCTGATGGTTGTTTATGTGTGAGGGGACAGAGCTGTCACTTTATGTTCCACCATCCGGCCTCAAGGGGCTACGCTAACAGCTAGCAGATGCCTGAGTGAGACATGTCCCCGCCAAGGTGCATCCTGGGAAAAAACACACTCACCATAAGGGTCATATTCACTAAGGAAAGAAAAGACTGAAAAAAAAGTGCCTCTCAAGGTGAAAAACTGGTGAATGTGTTTATGTAAAGAGAGAAGTTGTGAATGTCTTTGCCACTGGGAGTGGAAACAAACGCCGCACCCCCGTTGATTCTTTTACTCTTACTCTTGTTTAAGAGCGCACACCAGGACAGGAGGACCCATGAAAAAGCGCTCTTAAAATTTGAAAACATATCTGCCAGCATGATTCAATGAAACGCAGCATACTGCCATTTGACAGAATAAACAAACATTTCTCTGTCGTTTAAAATGTTTTCATTAGTGATGAAAATGACAAAAGGTCAAAATGACAAAATGTGATTTTTGACAATTTATTGTCATGCATATTTATATGTACATGTCAATATTCTATTGGCTTATGAAGTCTTTAGATATGGATATATGTATGGATATCCACAGCACGTTTCTACGGTAACAGGCAGACAGTACAGCGGCTGGACATCACGTAAAACATATTCTCGAAGCTGTTTGTACAATTCCTGCAATAAGTGTGTTTGTGCGGCTTTCATGTGCAATTTTGTGGACTTTGAAGAAAGCTAAGAATGAAGAGGGGAGGGGGGGGGCTTTTATTGTATTTGTGGGAAAAGATGAGGAACCAAATCTGTGTTTACAGTAGCAGCAGAGATGGGCTGTTTTTTAAATTGTATATTTCTCTTTAAGGTTTGGAAGCAAGTGGCTGTTTGTGAGTAAAACTTCCGTCCTTCTGTTCGTCTCTGGCTGCCAGCCACCAGCAGGAAACAAAGACTGGTTTATGCAAATGTCCATGGCAGTTCTTTCTCTCTCTCAACCTTGACAGCACATTCTCCACAATCTTCTGTCGGCTGTATCTGCTAGAATTAAATATTTCTATCAGATGAGAACACACAGAGATTAACACACCATCATGCTGAGAGACATATCTCTACACAGAACATCTCTATCCACTCACACTGGCTTTTATCTGCCTAAATTTGCACCTCAGAGAGCTAATAAAGTTAATAAGTACTGATTTTTCCTTCAATTACAGAACACTGCTATATTAACTGTATGCCTAAAAGTAGAGGTACATCGATATATAAAAAATCTCTGATGTGTATTTAATTATATTTGTTTTGTACAATACGATGGACAATATTAATCAACACTGTTTCGCCTTTCGTTTTTTAATGTCTACAGTAAGTAAAATGAGACATTTTAGAGACCTTGCATAGAAACAGTATGTTGTTTGAATGGAATTTTTAAACTGCTGGAATTATTCCAACACTACACTGTATTGGTGACTTTTGTCCTACAAAATTGATTTCATTTATCTCTTTTGTTTAACATCACAAAATAATCTCAGCTCAACTCTATACTTCATGTTAAGTAATGAGCGTGCCATTGTACAGTCAGTCGGTCATTATTTTTAAAATAAACATTAAGCGTTTCTTCTATTTGTATTCCTCACTCTGGTTGTGCACAATCTCAACACACGCACATTTTTCTGGGCTTTCTGATCAGGAGGTGACCTCAGTTGTGAGCTGTAGTCTGTGCAGGGGAGCAGGACATGAAATAAAGCTCTTGTTGGTCATTTCTGTTCAATTACTCCCACCATGGCCCCTGGTTGTGTGTGTGCCTGAGCGTGACATATGGCCCCTGTCGTAGCGTGCCCTGCCTGTGTGTGTGTGTGTGTGTGCGTGAGAGGGCGAGATGCTCCATGTCTGGTCCACTGCATCAGACTGCTTTATTTTCTTTCTGAATTGAGTTCTATTACAGGGCCAGCTCTTGTCAGTCACAACCGCTAGACCGACACACACATACACTGCACTTCCAACAGGGGCTGCCACTGAACACCCTCAAAGCGCTGCCACCCCGTCGTCAGTGTGAGCAAACAGGAAGTGACAGCACAATGCCCCTCGAGTGCCCACGGGCTCACGTATGCACACGCAGCGAGAATGGGGGCTGAATGGGTGGCTGATCTCAAAAGTGGGGATGTAACAGAGGAATTTAAATGTCAGCCTTACGCAAAAACACACACAAACACACACAGAGCTGCTGAATGGGGGAGGGTGTATCTGTGAGGCATTTGATAGGACTCTTGACTCCTTCAGTCAGGCTCCGTCCTTTTGAACTCTTAAAGCTTCTCCCCTTGCTTCTCTCACTCTCTCTCTTTGCTAATCCCCACAGAGGAGTCTTAGGCCAGCTCTAATTCTCTAACTAGAACTCTGTGTATGTTTAAAGGCAACAAAGGTAAGAAAACACACACCGTCAACACAGAGGAAGGAAGCACAAGAAAGATCCCTATGGCAATGCCAGTCTGTGACGTTGCACCTGATTTCAGGCCTGTCCGATCTAGCAGGTCAGATGTGACTGCATTAAGTAGTGTGTGTGTTTGTACGTGTGTATATGCAGGGTAACAGGAGGAGATAGATTGGCATTTGCGCTTTAACTCGTAAGGCTGATTGGAGAGTATTAGTGTTGGTGACACATGTTTTAACAAAGCCATCCCCCCATCCTCGCTAAGCCCCCATCCCCTCTCTGAGCGCAGGAAGACGGGCTGCTGTCAGCGCTATCCGTCGGAGTGAATTTATGTGGCTGAGCAGACATCTCTCGCTCTCCAGTAATCCCCTGCTTTACTCAGATTATGAGCTTCTTTTCCCATCTTGCTTTGTTGTTAAAATGGAAGCAGTTTGGAGTGATCCTCTAAGCTATTGTCGTTTTGGTCACCGCTGGCTATTGTGCGCCTCATGCTTTTTTTCTTTGTCGTCGTCAATTCTTCCTATTCTTGTCGTAATTTTTTTTGTGCTAAACTAAACACTGGCTGTCGAGTTCTGTGCCGTTTTGATTAGTGCGCCAGGTGGGATGAACTTCGACACGAGTTGTGTCTGACTGAAGCCGCTGCCAAGAAATCTCCCTCCCTAAGTGTCAATTAGTGCTAAAGCTAGTGCTTACAAAAATACAAAAGCCAAAATAAAATCTATTGTGAGGTAGGATAATTTTTTCTCTTTTCTGCTTAATTATTTTTTCGGATTGTCAGGGAAGAGACTCAGTCCAGGTTTTAGGTTTGCTTGTGGGAAGCTTTGAGTCAAAATAACATTCCCATTGTGTGATACACTGGGAATGTTATGTAAGCTTATTATGTTGTGGTGCAGATAGGGCAAGCTGGACAGGATCAATCCAGTCATGCTATCTATTAACAGTGCCACTGACCTCATCGAGCTCGGACAATGCCACCAGATTGCTATCTGAAAGGAATTCACAGTGCTTATCATTGTGAGCACACAAGTGCCTGTCAAAAAAATAAATCGCTGGGGTTTGAACTACAAATGGAAATACATGTACTATTTCTTACGGCTGATAAAAGGCATTTAATACAGTCTCCCTCTCGCTTTCTCTGCTCGTTCTGCTGTGTGCTGCAGTAATCTGGTGCAATATGGTCCAACATCTGCCTCTACATATGATGGCTGACCTCCTCCATTGACCCACTTTATACCTCTTTAGTACTGCTGATCACTGCTCGTATCTTTCTACTCCTCCTTTTCTCATCTGTCCCTCTTTCTTTATTCCCACATTTTCAACACAGTCATAGTCACTGTCCCTGCTTTTCAAGACAATCCCTCAGTGTATATGTGTGTGGTTTTGGTGGGTTGCGCAGGTTAATTTAGCTGGTAATAGAATATTAGGCCAGTGTGAACTGTGGCCGCAGTTGTGAAAAGTGGTTTTGTGGCCAGGTTTAAAAACCGCTGCAGTGACTAATGGAAAACACCTTGAAGATAGTGACCCCTGGTGCAATGACTCCCTCTCACTCAGACACACACACTTAAAGGTCTTGTTTAATGCCCATTGTGTAGGTAAGCAGTCTCACACAGATGTGACTTTGTTCATCTGGCGATTGCAGGTGTGTTGAAACAAAGAGAATTTCTCTAAATACTCGACATGCACACTACATAGGATGCAAGAAGCAAATGACAATGTAATAAAATTAAGTTGAATAACTGTACTACAAATTATAATCAACATGTCTACACTGCAAGTGACAATGCATTATTTTCGGTTGATATATATATATATATATATATATATTACTACCGCTCAAAAGTTTGGAATCAGTAAGACTTGTAATGTATTTTAAAGAAGTCTCTTATGCTCATCAAGGCTGCATTTATTTGATCAAAAATACAGAAAAAAACTGTAATCTTGCAAAATGTTATTACAATATAAAATAATGGTTTCTATTTTAATATACTTTAAAATATAATTTATTTCTGTGATGCAAAGCTGAATTTCCATCAGCCATTACTCCAAAATAA